AGGTATGGATCAGTAGCCCAGTGGGTAGAAATGGTGATGGGAGGGTGGTTGGACTGGATGATCTTGTAGGTCCTTTCCAACCTTGTGATTCCATGTGATTTTATAATTATAAAAGTTACTTTATTATCAAGTATTAAACTTCAAAGCACGTTTTCTCACACTTGGGTCAAGCAGAGCATGCTGACCCCAGGCAGATGCTGCCTGTGTTGGGCCTGGCACTACACAGCCAGCACAGCCTGCACGAGCATCACACCACACCAGCACAGGGTGTGAATGCTCCTCACCCAGATCACCGCTTTCTAACCCACTGGAGAGCAAAGGCAGCTACATAATGCAATTATTTCCATCGCTGCTTTTGGAAAAGATAAGATCCTTTAGCTAAAGGCCAAACACTGGGCTGTATGGAAGGCAAAGGACGCTCCTGCAGCACCACCAGGCAGCTCCTGTGGTGCCCAACCTGCCTGACAGAGCAGCACAGAGCAGGAGGGAGCAGCCCTGCAGCCATGCCAGCCAGCCCAGGCACTCGCTGGAACTCCCTGTGATCTGATTCAGCTTGCTCCCCTGACAGCCACAAACACAGCTCTGAGGAACAGATCATTTTCTGCTAGGATCCACGTATCTGAGTTGCCCACAGAAGGCTCTGCTGCTGGTGTGACATGCAGGAAGGAGCAGAAACAGATCTACAAAGGCTCTTAAGTCTTCAGCATGATTGTCCACAGCCTCTCCACAAAAAAATAAAGCACTGCTTAACTGCAAACCAGCAGGCAACTTGTTGTGTAGCAGCTGTGAGCCTGCAATGCCCCTCCTGCTTCCAGCAGGCAGATTAACAAGAAAAAAGCTATAAAAGGAGAAAAGACTGTGGTAATGGAGTCATTATCGTTTCTCGTTTCTCTTCTTGCCTTGCATCACGCAGGAGCAGAGGTGGGGTGGCTGCTTCAGTTCCAAATAAAACACTCTTGAATGGATACAGACCACTACTGCTGATTCAGCAAACAGAAGTGCTGTGTCCAAGAGCTCCCAGTCTCATCAAGATAATTAGCAGCAGCAGCCTAAGTCTGCAGCACGATCTTCCAGAGATTATATGCAACGTGGAAGAGATGGAGAAAGGAAATTCCCTCTCACGCCAGGCAGAAAACACGGGGTACCACCCAAGAAGTTGATTTCTTCAAATGAGAACGACAGCAGGAAAGTGAAGAGCCAGCTCCTCATTTGGACCTCTGTACAATCAAAGCAGCTGCATGTTTTCAGCCTGGAGAAGAAGGGGCTCGGGGGGATCTTATTAATGTGCATAAAGATCTGCAGTCAGGATGCTAAGATGGTGGATGGAGCCAGGCTCTTTCAGTGGTGCATGGTGCCAGGACAATGGTCCTCGTGGGTCCCTTCCACAGCTCCACGATTCTGTGAGATGATTTCCAGCACAGGTCCTCCTCCCACAGCAGCCCTGAAAGCAGCAGGCTGCTCCAGGCAGCCTTCAGCCCTGCACTCTGCTGGGTCCTGCCTGCTCTGACTGGAGACCTGCTGCACCCAGCAGCTCCACCAATGCACAGACCTGCCCATCGCTCCGGGTCCACGCTGATGCTATATATGGGATTAGGAAGGGCCTGAATACAGAAATGAAAGATCTCAATGTTCCAGGCATAAATCAAGGCAAGTATCTATCCTCGCTGGGTCCCATGCCAGGGCCTTGACAAGACTTCGTTTTCCAGCCACTGGCTCCCACTAACAGAACTTGGCCGTCTGTCTTAATGACCAGCAAAACGTATGTGTGTGTAAATACATCTATGTTAGAGAGATTCAACTCCAGTTTAACTGAAAAACATTGCTTTACAGATCATTCTTTTTACTGGCAGCAGAAAACATTGACAGCGATTCTCCCTGAGACACAAACTGGCACAGCTCACCATTGCATTACTTAAGGCAGCACCCCAACAGGGCTTCACTTCAGGACTTCTGCAAAATCCTTCCCTGCTGCATTCACTCACGTTCCATGTAACACCACCAGCTCTGCCCACAAACCCAGCACTGCCTGAGGGCACACAGAGCTGCTCAGCCCAGCACATGCTCTAGCAGCAGCAGCCTTGTACTACTGCTGATCAGGCTCTCAAACATCTTTCTTGACATCCAACTGGTGAACAAGAAGGAGCTATACAAATCCATCCCCTGTAACTCAAATCAAGAAGTAGTAACAGGTACCCTGACACCTTCGTATGCCTAAAAGCATTTCAAGCACACGCTTAGGAAGCCCACAGAGTTTACACCTGCTCACCAAGCTTCTCACTTACTCAGCATCCAGAAGGGAGAACTCAAGAAATGGGCTGACGCAGGCTTTGCTATAAATATGGATCTATCTTTTGCCAACATTGGCCAATATATGAAATACATATTTCTCAACCTGAACAGTGGTGCTTTCTCTTAAACAGAAATAAACAGGACTGCAGAATATAAGACTCCCACCTGGTTACGTACCACTTGTTCTGATGCCTAAAGGAATGCACTTTAAAAGAAAACAAAGTACCTAACATCTGCAGCAATCAATTAGAAAACACAGAGAAGATAACAGCAAGGAAGGGAAAGGAGAGAAGAAAAGCACAGAGACTTCAAAGTCACACTACCAAACCCAGCATTTGCTTTCTGGATCTGGTTCCCAGGCTTCACACCTATCTCTGGGATCGTGCACTGCTTTCTACTCCTGGCTTCACCGTCACGGTCAGAGCTCTATAATCATCAGCTGCCAGCACACCGTTGGTACAGGAGCTGCCTAAGCACACTGCAGAGATCAGCAAGCCTTCAAGAGTTACTTCTATTAACTCCATATAATCCTACATTCTAACAACTCTCATCCAGACAGCGTGAGAGAAGCACACAGAACACACAGTACCTGCATACTGCACCAGGAACATGGCAAGGTGCTCATAGTACTTCAGTAGTTCAGCCAGTTTTCCTGCCACTGCCTGTCTGTCTGTCTGCAAGGTGCAGCTCCCTGCTCAGCGCCCACACAGCACTCCTGGCTCAGCAGAACACAAATGAAAGTGGGTCCTAATGCAAGCAGAACCACTGCTGTGCTTCCCCACATGGGCAGTGCCAACGGAGGCACCAAGAGCTCAAGTTGGGGAGACAGTTCACAGAGTGCAGCTGCATGTGTCACCATCAGTCTGCTGTGAGTGACACCCACGGGCTCGTTCCTGGATGTGGGGGAAGGAGGTGAAGGAGCAGGTGGTAAACCCATTAGCAGTAAGTAAATCTGAATTTGTGAGGGATTTCATACATCAGCGCGCTAAGCACTGCGGGCAGTTAAATAAACCCTACTTGCATGCCTGAAATTGGTTGCCTTTGCATAGGAAGATTAAGCTCTGGTAATCCTTGAAGAGGCACACAGCACAATTGCTGATTCTGGAAACTTAAAGTGAAAAGAAATATCAACTTCAGACAAGGTAATTACTGCAGCAGGGCCCTGGAAAAGAAGAAGAGGTGGGAAGAGTCTTTGGTTGCAGTGCTCACAGTACCAAAGGGTTGCCTGCAGTGTTTTCAAGGAAAGGCATCCACAAACCACTGCCAACACAGCAGCAAAAGCACAGGGCTGATCAAGCTGGATATGAGTTGGGTTCTAAATGAATGAAAAGGAAAATATAACATACTGGTGTATGCAAGCAGACACGTATGGCCACACATATGGCCTTTGGAAGGCCCTCTTGAGGCTGATGTGCCCCAACCACTGTGATAAACGACCAGAACTACCAGCACTGAGCGTTGGGAGGATGCTCACATTGCTGCCAAACACACATTTTCAGAACACAAAATGCTCCACGTCTGTGAATGAATTCCAGCACACAGGACTGTCACCAGAGCCCAGTGCAAACACTGAGCTGAGGGCCGAGTGCTGCTCTGCAGGTGAGGGCACTGAAGAAAGGCACGGGCAGCTCACAGCTGGGGGACACCCACAGCATCGGTGAGAGGAGCAGGACTGCAAAGTGTCAACAGAGAGCAGAGCAGCCAGGAGCTGCGGGGAGGCGCTGCTCTGGGATCCAGCTGCTGGCAGCGGAGGAACGACAGCAGAAAACCTGGGGATTAGGCGAGAAATCTCACACCATCTCTGGAAGGGATTCGGGATGCCTCTGTAGCAACACCTTTGAAATTGCTCGGAGATCGAACCTCATCTCTTCCACGGGCTGAAGTCATTGATACTAAGAACATGACCTTAAAGCAAGAAACCCGACCTTACGGAGGCTTAGAGGGAGCTTTCAACAACTTAACACAGAGGGCTTTCTAACGAGATCTTATTAAGCCTCCCGAACGTAAGGTTAGGAAACAAACACAACAGCTTCTCAGCTGCCAGACGGGGAAGGAGCGACGAGCCCAGGAATGGAAACACCGACAAAAGCATCTGCGCGCATCCCGCGCCGAGCGTCTCTCGCGTGTACCAGCGCACGGGACGGGCCGAAAATCGCGGCGGCGTTAAGAAGTCGAACGGCCAAAGAACCGCGGAGCCGCGCGCAGCCGGGCACGGGCCGCACAGCGCCTGCGGGCCGCGGCACGGGAACGGAGCGCTGCCCCGGCGGTCCCGTGGGAGCGGGCAGGGCCGGAAGCGCCGCCCTCCGCCGGCACAGCGCGACCGGAACCGCCGGTAACGCGCCCCGCTTTGGCCGCTGCTCCCGGTACCGGAACCGCCGCCGACCCAGAAAGGCGGCCCGGAAGCTCCCAGCGCCTCGGGCTCCGCCGAGCCGACAGACGCCGGCTCCTCGCAGCTCCCGCACACGCAGCGCGGGCTGAGATGGAAACGAGCGCTGAGCGCTGGCCGCCCGCCCCGCGCCGCGCCGCCCCGCACTCACCGCCCAGCCCCGCTCCGCGCCCGGCCGCGCCGCGCCCGCTCTCCACGAACATCCGCGTCCGGCGGCCCTGCTTAGCGCCCCCCTGCGGCGCCGCCCATTGGCTGCCGTGGCGCTGGGGGCGGGGCCTGGCGCGCACTGCACGCCGGGAGAGGGGCGGGGCGGAGCGCCGTGCGTCCCATCTCTGGCCCCTTTGCTGCCGGGTGCGGGCGGCGCAGCCCTCGAACCGCCACGGAGGGCAACCCGCCCCCAGCTCCCGCGAGTCGGAACAGCGAGCGTGCATTTATGCAGCCATGCGATTTATTGAGCAACGAGAGGAAGCGCTCCTTATCTTCAGCCCTCGCGCGGCGCTCGGAGCGGGGGAGGAGCGGAGCGGAGCGGGGACGCGGACGGACCCCGCAGTGCGGGCCGGCGCTCCGCCTCCCGCTCGGTACAGAAGCGCGTCATCATCTCCCGCCCGTCCCCCGTCGCCCCGAGGAGATGCCATCCCCGCGTCGGTACCGCTGCCAGCCGGCCTGCAGCCCCGAGGCACCGACCCGCCCGCAGCCGTGCCCGTGGGCAGCAGGACCGCAGCCGACGCGAGAAGCGGGAGGCCCGCTTGTCTCCATTCCCAGCGGGCGCTGGCAGGCGTGTAGGAGGAGGCGGAGGCTTCGGCGTCGTCAGTTACTCGGCGAGGATGGGGCGGCTTTGCAAAGCAACAGCTGGTGGAGCCCACGCTGTGCCGAGCGCAGACAGCAGCCACGTCACGCTGACACGCGGTTGTGCTGATCCCCACAGCTGAGTCAGAGCGGATCCACCTACCAGACCCACCTGCGAGGCATCAGTTCAACCCACAGAGCCCATCTGTTCTGTGTGAGCCTTATCTCGGGCTCTTTCCTTCGTGCACAGGATACGTTGTGTGGTGTTTGCTCCCAGGCGTAGAGATGGGTGCCACAGGCTGCCTGCTGCTCTTGTTTTGGTCTTAGCAGGGTGCTTTTATTTTCATCCCTTCCTCTGAGATGATGATGGGGGTGGCCCCAGGACCGAGGCAGGTTCTGCTCATGTATGGGATCAGGCCTTGAGCCTTCATCTCTACCAGCAGGGCAGGTGACAGAAGAGGAACCAATTATTGTTTGCATAAAGCATCCCCATTTTCAGATTGAAGCGAGTCCTTAGCTATGCATCCTGTTTTAAGGGAAATGTTCCTGCTATGTGGATTTTACAAATTGTTACAGTTTTACAAAAAGCAATTAGAGAACATCATAGCCTCTGGCGGGACCAGCAATCTGTCCATCACTGCTGTGTGGCATGACGTGCACCAAGTGCTGTGTGCTCCCATCTGCTGAGTCAGTGTAGAGGCATCCTTATCACCCCATAAACAGTCCTATGGCATTGGTGGGATAAAGCAGCTCTTCTGCACAAGGTTTTCCCTGTCTCCAAGGCAGTCCTTCCTGCTCAGCACTCGGTCAGTCACTCATTAACTTGCTTTACAGCTCAAACCAAACAGTAACAGCACCAACCGGTGCTGCCCTGCACCTCTCCCAGGCACACCACGTCTGGGGCTGTTCAGCTTTTGCTCCAGTGCACATATAGCCAAAGAACAGCCACTCCCCTCCCCCCTGCATTACAGCAGAGATCCCAGACCCAGACCCTTCACCTCTGCCTCAAGGATCGATCCTAACCAGAGGATGGTTTGAGGAATAGCCCAGATTGCATGTGCTGGATTGCATGTTTGGTTTAGGTAAGGCATTGATAGGGAGTGACAGAGCCAACACAGTGAGAGCAGCCCTGCCCCACGTGCTGGTGGGGAACCTGGTCCAGACAGCTGTGCTGCAGGCAGAAAGGGACAGCAGAAGGCTCCCAGATCTGGGCTGGGGAAAGCCAGGCTGCAAAAGATGAGTGATCTTAGTCTGTGAAAGGCTTGGTCCCACCAGACACAAAGCTGCTCTTGCTGAAGCTCTCCAAGCAAAATTCAACATGTGCCACGCACCTGCAATTTTGGGTGCCCTGGAGCTGGTGCAGAACTGGCTGTGCTGGTTGTGCTGTGTCTAAGCATGCAGAGCTGTCCTACCCCACATAAGATCTATTCCACAGCTGGCAGCCCCCAGGTTCACAGTCCTGGTGAGGGAGACAAGCTGGAAAGAAAGCCAATAGTAGCCACTCCTAACCACATCAATCCTGGAGCTGCAAGCACGACACAGTAGGAATGGACTCGGTGCCTCTGCTGGGGAAACAGCAACCATTCCCCAAATGAAGGACTTTCCTCTTCACTCCAGCAGCCAGCTGGGAGAGCTGCCGCCGCACGTCCTTCTGCCAGTAGGAGTAAAGCAAGGGGTTCAGGAGGGAGTTGCACAGTCCCAACAGCCAGAGGTAACTCTCAATGACTCTGTAAGGGAAGCACTTGGTACACACAGTTTGCACGATGCCAGCGATGAAAAACGGCAGCCAGGACAGCACAAAGCAGCCGATCAGCATGGCCACGGTGCGCATGGCCTTCATGTCACTGGTGCTGCCCCTGGCCAGCCCTGCACGTTCCACTTCCCGGATTTGTTGCACGTGCACAGAGGCAATTTTCAGCATGTCACAGTAGAGGTAAATGAAGAGAAACAGGACTGGAAAGAACCCCATGCAGGAGACAATGAGCATGTAGCTGAGGTGGAAGACTCCGAAGAAGGAGCATTTTTCCTCGATGGAGATCTTCTGAAAGCCTGGGATAAGGAGTGGGAGAAAGCCAACGATACCAGCAAGCAGCCAGAGCCCCACCAAGTGCAGCCCGACCCGCGTGCCTGTGACCAGCTGGTGATAGTGGAAAGGCTTTCTGATTGCCAGGTGCCTGTAACACGCGACCAGGGTCAGGGATAGGATAGAAGCAGCAGAAGAGGATGTCACAAAAGCCATTCGCAGGACACAGAAGATCTGTGGGGGATGAACGTGCTCAGACAACTCCCCCCTGACCAGACCTACAACCGACAAACCAACTATGGTGTCTGCAGCAGCAAGATTAAGGACAAAATAGTGTCCCTTGTAGCCGGTCTTCCAGATCAGGCGAAGGAGGGCAATGGCCACCAGCACGTTGGCAGCGATGATGAGCGGAGCCAGCACAGCAAGGATGATTCCCACAGCCAAGCTAGCCATGTCTGGTCACTGCGGGACACAACCCAAAGATGGTATGTCCACAGCACGATCCTAGAGCATTCCTCACCTGGGGCTTCTTGGTATGCACAGCTCAGTAAGCAGGCGATGGGCAGCTGTGAGCACAGCACCTCACTCTCCAGGTGGTGCCTCAGGCTGCAGAGCAGAGTTCTGCTGTGCCAGAAGGGACTGATGCACTCACAGCACCCGTTGTGCCCACAGAGGTCCCTCCCCTCATGCCGCGTTTCCAGACAACCCGAGAGCAGGAGGGTGAGCTCAGAGCACTGAACAGGAAGGCAGTGTGAGGCTGGGCTGACGCCACTCTCCTCCCTAACAGCCCACTCCTGCTCCCCTGGCTCCCTGTCCCATCAGCAGGGCAGCAGCTCCCTGCACAGGATGTTTCAGCATCTCCCATTCCAGGGCAGCCTGTGCTGCTGTTGGCCTCTCCATCATCTCCAACTGCAACCGTGAGACCTGCTTGGGGGCTGTGGTCTGTTTCAGCACCAGGGTCACACCCTGATTACTCCTCCTTGTCCAGTGGTACTGCTGTGGTGGCATGCAGGGAGGTGAGCACCCCAGCCAAGCACTAAGGACCTCAGCAGAGCCAGTGCCTGGCTTTGACACAGGTGCAGATAAAGGAGAAAAGCCCAGCAAGATGTACAGATGGTACAGCTCATGAGGCTTCTACAGGGTCACTGCCAGAACTACAGCAGCCTTGTCCCAAAGGGACCAAAGAAATAACACTGATCCCTTTAAACAAATCTGCCTCTCCTGGACCAAGAAGTGGAAAAATCAGAGCTGCCAGGAAACAGGGAAGGCTTCAGCCTTCCTCTGTCAAATAGCAACCCGAGGCGAGCGGTCTGCTCAGGAGAGGCTGAGCACAACCAAGGTCAGGATACAGCTGAGAATGCAGCCAAAGGCAGAGCATGGCACAGGGCAGGTTGTAGGTGCTAAGGGTGGAAAGAAGAGCCTCCCACCAGCACTTCATATCACAAAAAAAGAAAGCCAAAAACCTGTAAGAGGCCATGAATACACTGTTCATACATTTCTGAGGAGCTGCTTGTAGAGCTTTGCTCCTGAAGAATAAAGATGGGATAGCAATGGCTGTCAGCAAAGAAATTACAACCATCAGTATAGCTGCACAGAAGGGTCTGCTCCAGAACTAAAGTTACAGAAACGTGAAGGAAGCCAAACGAATGTGTAGAATTACTGTTAAAATTCTTCCCTCAAATGGATTCGTATTGATCCATCACATCACTGTCTTTACTTTGAATATTCAGAAATTCTCTTCAAGAGTAAGGCAAGCTGAAGCATGCAAACGTTGTCTGCTTTCAATCCTCTGCTCCCAGCCCCTGGTAACTTGCAGCTTAACTCTGAAACTGACCCTCCAACCTTCCAGGATCACCTCCATTCATTGCACTATTTAAGTCCACAGGCCTCACCTTCCTTATGCATTCAACCAGATCCCTATAGAACCACACAAATAACTCTCTCTCCTTTGTTTGGCTGAACATCCCTTGTGCAATCTGCACAGAGAACGTCACTTTGCAGCAGTCTCAAGCAGGAAGCATTGCTGCACATCACATGGGACCTTCATCTGAACCAAAGCTCTCCCACAGAGGAGGAAGGAAGTAGGGATAAAAACTGTTTGCTTTTATGGCACCATCATTTCCTGACTATCAAGCTGTCTTTTAGAAATACATTCATTGCAATGAAGTTTGAAGACTATGAAGAAAAAATAATGTATTTAGGGGGAAAAAAGGATATATAGTGTGCTGGAAAAACAACCTTCTCTTGTTTCCAAGGGCAGACACAGCATCTGCTCTGAAAAATATACTTAATATGTTAAGTCTGCACAAACACAAACTCATGCCATCCAGTCAATAAATAATTTAATGAGGTTACAGGTTGCAGGAAAACATGACAGCACCCCTGTCCAGCCTCCAGCCTCACCCCACAAGTACAGCAGAACGAAGTACATGAGTCAAACAAACCACAGCTGCATCAAAAGGCCACTGGAATGCACAGATCTTCACAGAAGATATTGCTTCAGGCCCAAACACTCGTGCACAGTTAATACTCGCCTCTGTGTGGAACAAAGCATGCAGTACCTGCCATCAGCCTCCCAGTTACACTTCAGCCAGAACAACCTTCAGGGACCATGAATGTGGGAGAGGAGGAGAATCCAGACCCACACGTAACAAAACATCAAAACGTGGGGATGGTGAAATGAAGGCTGCAGCAAAACACTGCTGTGAGCCTTGAAGATGACACTCGTGGAATGAAGCTAGCTCTCAGAATGGAAGTCGCTTCAGTTGCTCATATGTGATAAAAAACTGAAGGAAAAGTCAAGGAATTAGGCCAAATACATACAGCAGCTGCACTGCACCTCCCTCATAACCAGGCCAGACCCCACAAGGCAAGGCAGGCAGATCATCAGCATAGTATAGCTGAAAACCAATATGGGGAATCCCATCTTCCAGGCAGCATAAAGTGATCTGTACAGATGGAAGAGAGCTGTAGAAAGAGGCTACCAGAGAGGGAAGAAACTGACCCCAAAATCAAGCTGGCCAAGGTTTGCCTGGACTACTAGGAAAGGGAAATAACTAACTGGGATTTTCTAAGCAAGGACTTCTTTAAAATAAATTACATACACCATGCCAGAAGGAATGAAGAAACCAGTACAGCAACACAGCAGTGACTGACGATTCTGCAGAGCAGGTCAGCACCTGTCTCAGGAGAAGAATATTCCAGGCTTCCCTCTTAAAACAAGAGCCAATCTTGAAACCGCTGTGACTCCAGCAGCTCTGGCTAAATGGAAAGTTTAAAGCTGTGCACTTGAAAGTACTTACTGTACAGGAAAATGCCTATGCTGCTGCACTGGAAGTCCCTGCATGAACCACCTACAAAGCTGTCAGATGGATCAATCACAGCCAGTGGTATTTTTTGGTGCTCGAAGCACCTGCAGTCACATCGCAGTCTATGTCTGTCCAAGCATAACAGGAAGTTGCTCTGGGCTAAGACAAAGAATTACCCCATCAGGGTGTCTTGTCTGAACTTCTATTTACAGCTTAGTCTTCCCCTGCTTGCCCATACTCATCACCTCCCAGCAGCATACTGAAGGATACAATGATGTTCCAGGGACCGAGCCGAAGCCAGTTGGGCCAGAAACCTTTATAGAGTGCAAAGAACCCTTCACTCTTCCATGTCTGGGGGGAAAGAAGAGAGAGATCAGTTATCAGATTCAACTTAGGATCAGTCACAGATTCTGAAGAGAGCTAAAGAGGAGCTCTGCTGTGGAAACACCACCACTCTCTGGGCTTGGCCATTCAGCCAGTTTTCAATACACCTCACTGTCTGCTCACCCAGCTCGTATTTTAACAGCAGCCAGCCTCCTAAAAAGCAGTGTTTTGCCCACCTGTTTCACCTCCTTACCTTCACAAGACCATCAAGAGTGCCCTTGTAGAGCTCCACACTGCCCACTATCGCTCGCTGGTTCATCATTCGTGTCCTCACCACATCCACAGGGTTGGAGGCAATTGCCCCTGCCAGCCCACATGTAAAACTGGAACTAGATATACCAGAACATTAGAGAGAAATAGCTCTGAATATGGCCAGCCTGGCTCAGACAGGCCTGGACATAAGCACAAGAGTACTTTTCAATTCCATGAAAGGCATTTAGCAGTAAACATTAGCTGTCCTGTCTGCTCCCACCCAGAACCAATAGCACACTGAGACCCAGAGAGCCAGGGAAGCAAAATGCTCAACTCCATCTAATGAAGACCCTGCCAGAGCCCACTGCCAGGTCTCCACAGGGCTGCCTGCAGTCCAGCAAGTGTTTCTGGGTGCTGACAGAGTGACACAGACCTGAAGGCAGGCTCTTGGAAATGCACATCCTTCTCCCCAGAGCAAACATTTCTTCGTGGCTGGGAAGGAGGGAGGAAGACCAAAGGCAGCCACAGGGAGCATGCAGCTGCTAGTCTCCTCCCTGCACATATGGTCTAGTGCTTGTCACCTTCAGCCCACAGCAGGCAAACCCAACAGAAGCACTGCAGCACCTCCAGCTAAAGTGTCTGCTAGAAGAATAATAGGAAAATGTAGGTGAAGAAAAACTTTGGGAAGTTTCTAATCCACCCCCTGTTCAGAGCAGGGCTGACTTCAAAACTAGGTCAGATTGCTCAGTGTATTCTTCTAGTCAGTTCTGCAACTTTCTTTGTTTCACAAAAATTCTTATAGCAAGGGCTGCAAGCTGACATTTTCTGTAGATGAGAACCTCAGACTGGAGCAGCTCTTTCAACCTATTGCTACCATTCATCACAACTAGAACTCCTGCCAGGTTCATACCATGGCAGCAAAATGGAGCAACAGCATTTCTGGTAACTAATGAACTGAATTCAAGCTTTTATTTCACTTCACCAGAAGGATTTCTGCCATGTTCCTTCTCCAGGGAGGACTCTCTAGGGATATTTTCTGGGCATCCATAGCTGCTCCAGTCAACACAGCAGATCCCTCAGAAGCACTGAGTTTGTTCTTGGCAGCTCCAGAGCTCTTGCTCTATAAACAGATCTCCAAATCCCACTTTGCTTCTTTGCTTCATACACCCTGCCAAGCCTGGAGAGTGCAGCAGCTGCAGCAAATACTCACACAAAGTGGGTAAAGATTGTATCACCCATCAGGCCTGACAGAATTAAGTGCTTCTTGGTGATGTCGTAGACTGGCAGTTCCACCCCAACCACAATGGCAGCTCTCTGGGCTGTTGGAACAACACCCTGCAGAACACAAACGTCAGTCACAAGCATGAACTGCTGCCTTGAGACCCACAACTAGTATAAAACTTCTTTCCAGCCTCCTCTCAAGGGTCTTTCTCTCAACAGGACACTTGGTATCCTCATCATCCTGCCTTGCACCCGAATCTTGAGGTAGAGCTTGCTCGCTGTCTCCCAGTATAACTCCAAAGCTAAGGAGGACTCCTCCATCCTCCACCCTAGCAGTTTTACTACAGCCAGATTAACCAGATGCTGCTTCTCTCTGGCCCACAAAGGAATAAGGCTATAATTCACTTTTCTTCCTCACCAGCATACTGAAATTTCAACTCCAGAAAAGATCCTGTACCACAAAAGACCTGATCTACTTGCCCAGACATAAATACTGCTCCACCCAGGGACAGCTTCAGCCCTGGGAGCCAGGTTTGACTGGCCCAGTGCTGACGCTGCCACAGCACAGATGCAATCTCCACCACAGATGTGCTTCTGTTTGCCTGTTAATGAGGAGAAGGACTTGACTACCATCCCTGGTTCACAGTTCTCCTCAAGAGTTGTACTTGGGCTCAAAGAAGGAGCAGCAAACAAGTTAAGGAAGCTTTTAGTTCTGATACTAGTGGAGGTGAGGGGTTTCCAGCAGCTGGTGCTCACCCTCCAGAGGCCTCGGGTACCCTCTTGCTGGTAGATATCGATGAAGCTGCCAATCATGCCACCCTGGAACAAACTGCCTTGAGCTTGCATTCGAATCTGAAAGAAATGTCAAGTCAGGGGCACAGCATCAGCGCCTGCCCTGAGGGCAATAACAGTTTGATGGATTTCCTGGTATAAAGGAACAACAGAGCAACTCCCATTCATAACAAGCCCAAATTAGCAGAACTAATGTCAGTAGTGGCTTAGAGAGAGCACCTCACTGCAGCTGGGAGAGATGCACCTTTGTTAGAAAGCAGGAGCATGTGGCAAACTGCACTGGGCTCACTGGACACACACACTTCTTACCTTCAGCACATCTGTCGGATTGGCAAGTGCAGAGGAGATCACCCCTGAAACCACTCCACAGATTACATTGATTAACAACGTTTCATCTGCAATCAAGAAAAGGAAGTCAGATCCTAAAGGTCTAAAGAGAAGGCGCACAGGCTGTACTGAACAAGCAAGAAGCTCTGGAAAGAACACAAAAGCTAAATTCACAAATCACATGGTGAAGCTGCACAAGCAGAAACTGGCCATTTACCACCATCTGACAGCAGACCTATCTGTAGCTGCCAGTGACAAAAAGCAGAGGCTGAAACAGCAACACATTGTCAGAGAGAAGCAGGTCTGACTGCCAATTCTAGCTGATCAGACAAGTAAAGGGATGCTATACAGGAAAGTGCTAAACAATCATCTGAGATTTCAGTGCCCAGGGATGCATTTCTCATAATGGAGAATGGCAAGACAGAGGGGCAACTAAACACTCCTCAAGGCAATCTGACATCAATTAGTTTTAATTTGGAGCCCCAGCTGGCCACACTCAGAATATGCAGCCTCCCTGAAAAACAGAGAGTAGATGATCCAGGCAGAGAAAGTTAGATGCAATTAGTTCCAGAGAAGGAAAAAAAAATCCAAGATTTCCAGGTCCAGTATTAGATTGATGGTTATATTGGAAAAAGGCCCTTTGCTGGTACTGACCACAGCACTTCCCAGAGGAGACCAGGCCACGTGCTGCCCCAGGCCTGTAGGGAGACAAATATTCAAACAACAGTACTCACAACTGGAAATGCTTCAACAGCAAGTGAGATGGGCAGCCCAGAGCACATGCACAGAACCATCCACAGGGAGAGGCATCACTCAAGAAGAGAGCAGCCCCTGGAAAACAGGTCTAGTGCATTGTACACCTGGTCCTCTCACTGGTGTGAATCTCACATCTCACCTTCGCAGGCTGAACATCATAAAGTATTCACTCACGATAGGACAGGGTACAGAACTGCACATGCAGCTCTCCCAGTAAAGAAAACTTCAACTTTGGCTGCTCTACCATCTTACAAATAAGAGCAACAAAGGTTCCTGTCAGAGTCAAGAACACACACTGTTTCTTATCTCTTTAATCCCTGCAAAAGCTCATGAATTGGACAACTTCTTAACCAGAGCTGCTGTGTTCAGGCAGAAGGACTTCAAGAGGACAACAGGAAAGGCTTCTTAGTGAAGGTTATAGCCCAAGTAACACAGAGCAGTGCAGGGAGCATAGCTGGGATATCATAAAATCCTAGAATGGCCTGGGTTGCAAAGGAGCACAGTGCTCATCCACTTCCAACCCCCTGCTATGTGCAGGTCACCAACCAACAGACCAGGCTGCCCAGAGCCACATCCAGCCTGGCCTTGAATGCCTGCAGGGATGGGGCATCCACAACCTCCTTGGGCAACCTGTTCCAGTGCCTCACCGCCCTCTGTGTGAAAAATGTCCTCCTAATATCTAACCTAAACCTCCCCTGTCTCAGTTCAAAACCATTCCCCCTTGTCTTATCACTATCCACCCTCATAAACAGCTGTTCCCACTCCTGTTTATGCAATCACTTCAAGTAATGAAGATATATATGATGTCTTCCCTCAAGCTAATGAGAAGAGATGGGCCTCTGTCAGTACACTGGAGGTTTCCTGAGCTCTGATGTCGCAAAACAAAGATGAAAGCTGGGGAAAGCATGGATGTGTTCAGCTTAGGGACCATTTCTGTGACTGTGGGCGGCGTCAAGCGCAGTGAGATTCCAATTGGTGCTGCAGCCTATCCCTGCATGTAACACAGCCGCACAGCACGAAGCGAGAACTCCATCTCTTGGAGAACCAGAGCTGGGAAGGACAGGGAAAGGAAGGAGCAAACCCACACAGAACAGAGCACGCAGCACCGCGCCGTGCACGTCTGGCAGAAGAGCTGCACCACGTTCCTACCACAGACCTTCCAGGCGCTCCACGAACAGCCGCTTCAGGCTCTGGTAGATGCCGATCTTGATGGTGCCGTAGGACGCCTGTCTCAGCAGCGCAGGGGCGATCCTGAGCGAGGGAACAAACGGCGGAAGCTGAAGCCCCCAGCAGGGCGGCACCCCGGGGCGCAGCGCCGGCCGCCGAGAGGCGCTTCGTGCACCGACCATCCCCGCAGCGACGCCGACACACCGCAGCCGGCCCCGCGCAGCCCTTCAGCCCCCCCGGCTCCGTACTTACCCCGAATAGAGGGCGCGGCCGCCCTCCTCGCGGCAGATGCGGAACAGGGCGTGGAACATGCCGCGGTAACGCACCTCGCGGAACCGCGCATCGGCGCTCTGGCCCTGCACCTGCAGGCGCGTCTTGGTCAGGTCCACGGGGAACGTGCCTGCGGGGAGAGCGGCCGTCAGCGCCCCGCCCCGGCCCCGCGCCGATGCCCGCCGCCCGCCCGCCACACCTCACCGAACTCGGCCACGATGGAGGCGAGCCCGCCGTACACGAAGGGTTTCCAGTTCAGCGCGGACATGGCATGGCGGAGCGCGCCGCCGCGCCGGGCCGGACACTGCCTCGCCTCGCCCCGGAACCGGAAACGCCCGGAACACGAAGCGCCCCGGAACCGGAAGCGCACCGCGACGCGCGGCAGGCGGATAGCGCCCCCCTGGCGGCGAGGTGCCAGCAGCTTGCTCTTGGAGTTCCAGTTCCATCAGCGCCGCCCGCCGAGAACGGACGGCGAGGAGACGAGCGAGGACTGCAGCTACTGAAACCACCCCGAAACCCACGGGGTAGGCGGCAGAGAGAGCTAGTTAGCGAAGCAAGGGCTCCGGCAGCAACCAGATGCGGCTCAAGGTCACCGCTGCGTTCTCTCCATTTCTCTGTCCATTGCGATCGATGTTCAGCCCAAACACAACGAAAAAGTTCACCTTTCCCTGCTACCCAGACACAGAAGTGGTGCTCCCAGTTGTTTCTTCTGGTTAACAGATCGATTTTATTAAAAGGAGTTTAAAACAAAAAACATGAACAGCGACGGCTCAGCAGCACAGCCTTTGAGATCCATCTCATAAACAAGGTAAGTGGGACAGGCTGGGGGCACAAAGCACTTATGCCCGCCTGCAGGCACCCACCGGCCCCACTGCAGACAGGAGTGCTCCCATTGAACATGGGCCGGTTGGGGGTCCATAGCATCCTGCTGCTCTGCACCCCTACTGCCCATGCTGTGCCGTGAGCCCCTCCACAACTGTCTGTGGGATGCCACTGCACAGAAGGGCTGAGTGAGGCAGCAACAGAGCTCACATCCCCGTCCACAGCACAGAGAGAGCCCTGTCTGAGGAGTGAATGAGTCAAAGTTGTGTGTGAGCAGACACAACACCAGCTGTGGTACCCTCAAGGACATACCAGGAAGCCGCAGACAGCTCCTAGTGCAGCTCACAGGGCGCAGCTGTCTCTTGGTGGGCACACCTGTGGCCCAGAGGGTGCTCACACCAGGGCTCAGTGATGGCTGGAATCTCTGGTGGAACCACGCTCCCTGTGCTTGGAATGGGGCTCTCTGGTGCTGCTCTCCCAACGGTGCCTGGATCTGCTTCCTTCATGAGACTCCTCTCGCCGGCTACTGTGCCCCTCACCCTTCCTGCTAACCTCTCCTCTCTCTTCCCATGAACCGTTCTGCCCTCTGTGTTCCTGAGAGCTCTTTTCCCCTCTCCTCCCCAAAGACCTCTGGTGCTTCTGCTCTTCCTCATCTCGCTGTGTCCTGCTCGCATGTTTCTTCTCAGACTCACTGCAGGACTGCTGACTCCCACCAGCATATCGGTCATAGCCAGGATCTTCCTTCTCCTTTTTAATCTTGATTCTCGGATGTGCCTCTTCAGCAGACGCTGTTCTCTTTGCAGCCTGAGAGCTCTGCTTTTGCTGATCACGTTTACTCTTCTCTTTATCTGAAACAAAAGGTTCATCTTTAGAGATGGATAGTCCTGTAAGCATCATCTCCACAAGCTCTGTTACAGAGCACCAGCATTTTTTTTTTTTTTTTTAAAGGCTTTTTTTGGAGCCTTTCTTCTCCCTGACCCCCAGTGTCCTGACCCCCCCCTTGCAACAACCCCGCAGCCTAGCAGACAGCTCCTTTTCTCCAGGAAGAGTGCTACTATAACCTGCAAAATAAGGATCTTCAGAGGCTTGGAGTCAATTATCTCAGTAAGGGTAAACACTGGCAATGTGACGCATATCACAGAGTATAGCCTGGACATTAGGGTTGCATCTCTTTTCAAGAAGATACCTATCCCTGCTGTACGCTGAGCTAAGAGTCCCTGATAGCCACCCACCACAGATCCTCCCACCCAGGGTAGAGACTGGCAGAAATGCATTTCACCTTTTTGCTTTTGGACTGGAGTGTCATCATCCTCCAATGAGGAATCTGATGATGTATGAGGTGGTGTTTTCACTCCACAGCCCTTTGCATGGAGGGCTTTTGTAACATCATCTAAATCATCCGAGTCCTTGGGAGGCCGATAGTTGGCCACGTGGTCCACACGGATCGTCCTTCCTTTGATCTAAAACAGGAGTCAGCAGCTGATGGATCTCCTCCCTGAAGTGATGCAGTGCTCCAGGAGCTGCTGCAGCCCCATCACTCACCTTGATCCCATTGAAGTTATCAACAGCAAGAACGGTGCTCCTCTGGTCCTCATAGCACAGAAAGCAAAACCCTTTAGACTTCCCAGTCTTCTTATCCCGCACCAGATTAATGTTCACCACCTCCCCATACCTGAAACACACCATCAACAGCCACAGAGCACACGGCTATGGGGGCACAGCAAGGCGGGGGGGGGGGAGGGGGCACTTACTGCGAGAACACACAGATCACGTCCCCCTCCGTCAGCTGGTAGGGCAGCCCGCCTGCAGGGAGGGGATTGGGCAGCGATGTGGGGCGGCCAGGCTCAGCACGGAGCCCAGCACAGCCTCCCGCCGCTCTCCTCACCCCCTCCACACCGCCCCCCCCCCAAACGCGGCCTACACGTACCGATGAAGACCCAGGCGCTGTCCTTGTACTCGGCGTGCCACGACACCGCTTCGCTCACGCCCAGCTCCGCCTCCCGCGCGTTCAGCTCGTTGATCAGCTTCACTTTGGTCAGCGGGCTGAGGGCGATGGGTACCGTTAGCACCGGCCGGGCGCGCACCCCCCCCTCCGCCCGCCCCCCACCGAACCTACTTCATGATGGCGGCGGCGACGCGCACTGCGCATGCGCCCCGCTCCGGCCGCGCATGCGCGCCGAGCAAAGCAACGAGTCCGAGCGCAGGGCTCCGCACAGACTTTATTGAAGGCGCTCAGCACGGACACGCGCTTTTACCGTGGGCGTCGCGCGACTGCTCCAGCTTCTGCGCCCGGCCCGGCCGCTTCTCCACATCGCGATAGAGCAGCGATTTCTGCGCCTTCAACCGACAGGCCAGGCACATGAAGATGGACTCCACGTTCTGGCTCTCCTTAGGGTCCTTGGCTGAGGTTTCGAACAACAGCATGTTGTGAGCGTCGGCGAATTTGAGGGCCATGCTGGACGGCACTTGGATCAGGTCCTTCAAGTCACACTTGTTCCCTACCAGCACTTTGGGGACGAGGGGGGACACGGCGTGCCCGTTGCACTCCTCGATCCACATCTTGAGGTTGGTGAATGACGTCATCTTGGTGACGTCATACACGAAGACCACGGCGTGCACGTTGCGGTAGTAATGCTCCACCATGCTCTTCCGGAACCGCTCCTGCCCGGCCGTGTCCCACACCTGCACCTGAGAAGCACAACACGGGGTTCTTGAGGCTGCCGGAGCGCTGGGTGCCCACCTGCTGCAGGAAGGTGTGCTGCAGCTGCTCCGACAACCGATGGGTCGCACAGCTTTCATCCCTGTGCTCTGAAGGGGGAAAAGTCCCAGCCCGATGACTTACCTTCCCCAGGAACACGTTGCTGGGCTGGTGCACCCAGCCAGCATCCCCACCACCAAGCTCACAAAACACTGCTCGTTTCAGAAATGCCAGACTAGGTTAACACGTCGGCCCGCCTAATGCTAGGCTGTGTAAGAGAACACTGAAAGTGATGCTCTGTGTATGCATGAAGGAGGTGGGGCAAAGAGAGCAGCGTTCCTGCGTGGAGCTCTGGGGTTCCTGCCTGGGGACGGAACCAGCTGAGAAATAAGGGTTGGGATTAAAGAGCAGAGAACCCTGGTGACAGGGCAGTGGGCAGTTCCAGCCTGACCAGGAACAAGAACTGGATGAGGCCCTCTGCAGACAGGAGGAGTCTCACGTTCACAGGTCCTTCTGGAGGCCTTCAACCATTCCTGTGCATGCTGGAGGGGCAACACAGCAGAGAATAAAGTGTGAGATTTCTGGAAAACATTGGTGGCAACTTCATGATAGAAGAGCCGATGAGGGGAGGTGCTATGCTGGGCCAGCTTCAGCAGGGCAGCTATCAAGGTCAAAGGCATCTCATCAATTATTTTGATTGCCCAGGGAGGTAATGGAGTCTCCTTCTCTGGAGATATTCAAGACCCACCTGGACACTTACTTGTACAACCTGGGGTGGGGAAACTGCTTTGGCAGGGGGGTTGGACTCAATGATCTCTGGAGGTCCCTTCCAACCCCTACGATTCTGTGATTCTGCAATCAGTGTGATTCTGTGATTAACCATGAGGTGGTGGAGTTCAGGATCCTGAGCAGAAAGAGCAAAGTGAAATGCAAGACCGCAACAGTGAGAGCAGATTTTGGCCTTTTCAACGATCTGCTTGAAAGAGTTCTGTGAATTAAGGCCCTATAGGAAAAAGGGACCAAAGAAAGATAGCTAATAGTGATGTACCTCCACCTCTGAGCTCAAGAGCTGTCCATCTGAATGAACAGGAGGTCGGGCAAAAATGCCAAGAGGTACAAGGAGGAAATACAGGGAAGGTGGAAGGTGAGACAAGTGACCTGAAAGGAATACAGACACAATGTCTGAGCACACAGAGAGGTGATTTAGAAAGCAAAAACACAACTGGCAATGAATGTGGCAAGAGATGTTAAAGGCACCAGGAATAGCTTTTCCAAGTATTTAGGTGGCAAAAAGAAGGCTAGGGACACTTGAATGTTACTTCTGATACCTGTCTGCCTTAAGATCCTTATAGAGAAACTAATGAAGCCTGGGCTGGATGAACAATAAATTGCATTACAAATTGGCTGGATGGTCAAACCCAGAAGGTGGTGATCAGTGGTGCAAAGTCCGTTTAGGAGCCAGTAACAGGGGTCATTACTGTGCCTGTTCCTGTTCAACATCTTTACTCAATCAGGAGGATGCAGCAGTGCATCCTCAACCAGCCAGGACATGGCAAGGTGGGAGGAGTGGCAGATACACCAGGGGGCTGTGCTGCCATCTAGAGGGACCTAGATGGGGGAGAAATGGGCTGACAGAAGCCTCCTGAAGTTCGACAACCCCAGGACTGAGCAGACACACAGCTGGGAATAAGAGGACCTTGGGGTCTTGGTGGGCACTGAGTTGAACATGAGCCAGCAATGCGTCCATACGACAAAGTTGGTTAATGATGTTCTGGGCTGCATTAAGCAAAGTATTGCCAGTAGGTCAAGGGAGGAGATCCTTCCCCTCTAGTTGGCATTGGTGAGGCTACATGTGAACCCAGCATTCCAGGTCTAGGCTGCCCAGTACAAGAGAGAAATGGAGATAAAAAGGGCCTTGAAATGATGAAGAGACTGGAGCATGTCATGCAAGAGACTGGAGCAGCCCTTGCAAGACAGGCTGAGAGCTGGGACTCTTCAGCATGGAGAAGAGAGCTTATCTTGTAAACGGTATAAATACCTGCACAGAGGGTGCAAAGAAGCCAGGCTCCTTTCAGTGGTCCCAGAGATGACAGAAGAGACAGGGACACAAACCAAAACAGTTGGAGTTCTTTCTGAACATCAGGAAGCACTTATTTTCCATGTGGGTGACAGAGCAGTGGCACAGGTTGCCCACAGGAGCTGCAGAATCCTCCTCCTTGGAGATGTTCAACAGCTGCATGGATGCGGTCCTGGGCAACCTGCTGTGGGTGGCCTTGCTTAAGCAGGGGGGTCAGACCAGATAGCCTACAAAGGCTCTTTCCAACTCATATCTGGCTGTGAGCCTGATTCTATAAGTCCTGCTTGCACTTGTAAGTAATGCCTTGAAGCCTGGAACTGGCAATTTCTAAGTAAATGCTTTCTATGTGAACTACTCTGGGCTGTGACAGCGCCTGGCCCAGAATCATTCAGCATGGAAAAGTGCTGGAACAAAGAGGTACTGCTCATTCATTTCCATGCCTGTTTATCCCACACTGCTTGACTCTGGACACAGCAGGAGCAGGAGGGTGCATCTCCCACCTCTCACCTCCCCACTGGAATGCATGGTCCCAGAAGAAGGTGTAATTTGCTGCACTGCCTCCCAATCCTGCCTGCTGCAGCACAAATCACATCCAAGAAGTAGAAAGCCTGACAACCATTACAAGCTGGTGGCAGCAAGGCAGGCTTTGTGCCAGCCTGCAGATACATGGTGTTGAGTGGAACTGGGGAAGGCAGGGGGGGAAATGAACAGCTCTTCCTCCTAGAGAGGGGGAGAGAGAGAGATTCATTGACAGCTTAACAGCATAACTAAAGTTCTTATCAACAGACATTAGCTCTGCATTCATTGTGATCAGTCCTTCAATTTCTGATCCCCCATTTGTCAGCAGAATGGCAATATTTGCCCCCTCCCTGTAATTGCACAGACTGCTGTTTGTTCTGATCCATGTCACTGGGTAGGCCAAGACCTGCTGCAAACTCTGCTTCCCAGGCAGTTTTGTACCAACTGCAGCCCATCTGTGGATCTGCTCTGATCCATCAGTCAAAGCCCCTCTGGTCTGAGCTAATACACTTCTTACACTTGTGACACTGGTCTGCATACAGCAAATCAGTCCTGTTCTAGTTCTGTTGGAACTGCATCCTCCTATCGCTTGCTAACACCAGTTTTGAGTGTTAAATCACAGCTGTCAAGCCCCCTGCAACCAGGCAGCGTGAGCCCCGACCTTCCAGCGAGCCCCTGCAGCCACCTGCTCCACGACACACCGCTGTCTGAGCACAGCTCCGGCCCAGCCGATGGAGCCGGCGGCTCTCAGCACCCAGCCATGCGGGATGCCGGCAGCGTTCCGCTCCACGCCATCGCTTCAAACCCCCCGCAGACTCACGCCAACATCAAAAAGCGGCAGTGACACGGTCGGAAGACGTCTCCGCAATGAGAAACCTTCCCCGGTTCCCCTCCCTCGGGCTGGAATCCGAACGGCCCCCGGGAGGCAGCCGGCGTTCGGGCATCCCGCGGGCGGTGCGGGGCCGGGACCGGCCGCCTCCGGAGCCCGATGCGATCCGCCCGCCGGGGCCGCCGCGGCCCACCTTGATGCGCTCCCCCTCGATCTCCACCGTCTTCTCCCTGAAGTCCACGCCGATGGTGGCCTCGGTCTTATCGGGAAAGGTGCCCCCGCAGAAGCGGAAGGTCAGACACGTCTTGCCCACGTTGGAATCTCCGATGACGATGATTTTGAAGATGCGGGTCTGCACGTAGGGCTCCAGCGAGGAACCCGGGCCCGGCGGCCGCCCTCCTCCCGCCGCCATCCCGCACCGCCGCACCGCACACACAAAGGCTGCGGCTGCGGCGGGCGGAGCGGATCAGGTGGTCGGGCGCAGGAAGGCTGCGGGACCGCCCCGCGCAGCGGCACCGCCAGCGGCCCCGCCCCGCACAGCCCCGCACAGCTCCGTGCGGTGCAGAGCAGGTCGCAGCCCCCCGGGTCGGCCCCGCTGCTGTCAGCATCGGAGAGGGCAAAGACTGGGGCTCCTCGTCCCCATCCTTCACAGAATGGCCAGGGTCGGAAGGGACCTCAAGGATCACGAATCTCCAACCCCCTGCCACATGCGGGGCCACCAAGCTCCACATTTCATAGCACACCAGGCTGCCCAGGACCCCATCCTGGCCTTCAACACCTCCAGGGATGGATGGGGCATCCACAGCCTTTCTGGGCAGCTGTTCCAGCACCTCACCACTCTCTCTGTAAAGAACTTCCCCCTGACATCCAACCTAAATCACCCCTCCTCCAACTTAAAATCATTTCCCCTTGTCCTGCTGTTATCTACCCTTTCCAAGAGTTGATTCCCCTCCTGTTTGTAGGCTCCCTTTAGGTACTGAAAGGCTGCACTACGCGGGGATATGGGAGCATGCAGCCTGAAGCATGCACACCTGGGAGGGAGTAGGGATGGGAGCAAGAGGCATCAGGTCAACTGCACAGCGCTCAGGGAGAAGTACTGCTGCAAAGGGGGTCTGTGAGAGCACCTGGCTTTCCTGGGTAACACAAGATAGATGGGCAGTGCAGTACAGCATGGGGAGAAGGGTGTAACAGAACCCCAATGGAGAAGCAACCTCCTTGGCCCTTCCATCTACAGACCCCCAGTGCTCCTGCTACCCCTGATAACATAGCCCAGACAGCTCCAGAAGAGATCACAGCCCCCTAAAACTGCACACAGCAGGGCTTGGTAAGAAGTGAAGGAGCCAAAGACTGGAAAGAATTTCCCAGGGGTCCCCCAGCAGGTCACAGCTGTCCCGGGACAACAGCACGTAGCTGCCAGCTTCTGGCAATAATGAAAGGACAAAAAGAGGTGCAATAAACCACGCAGCAGGCAGAAAAGGCTCACAAAGACTGGTCCTGAAACACATGGATTCTTCCCCCCCCTTCTGATTTTGCTGATGTCTGCAAGTGTCAGCTGAGTGAGGCCACCCACCTGACCAGCACACCACTCTGTCTCATCACATTGCCTCCACTCTAAACAACGGGGATGCAGAAGAGATCCTCCCCATCAAGGCTACATCAGCTGATCTGAGGGTTTGACTCATAAAGGAAGCTCAGCTGATGGACTCAACACATCCAATTGGCTAAACCCCAGAGGTGTTACCAGGACACAATTTCCAACCACCCCCAGTTGCTTCTGTTTCAAATAGCTAAAAACCTCCAGAGCAAAGTCAAAGGGACACAAGGACATTGGCTGCGAGTTGCTGCTCAGCCCTCCCCTTATGTGAGCCCCAAGGGAAAAATCCCTTCCTTGGGGACAGCTGGATCCCCCCCGAGACTCAGCCTGAACATGAGCCTGCTCTGAGCAACATCTAGCTACTGGAAATGCTCACCGCAGCTCCGTAAGTAATGCCACCACTCCCTGAATGAGAGCATAACCAAATAAACAATCTTATTTGCCCACAGCCTTAGGGTTGTTTGTTTTGGAAGGTTTGTTTCTACCTGTCGGCTGCAATCTCCTCTCCTGCAGGAGCTCTGACACTGTTGCCATGTGCATCCCAGCTTGTCTGTCTCCACAGAGTCTGATGGAGGCACAGTCCCAGCACTGGGAACACAGCAGTGGCCCAAACATCCACCTCAACCACAGGCAGAGGTGAGCTTCTACATTTCTGATCCTGTGACTTCCCAGCAATTCCTCTTTGTCATGGTATGACATCAGGTTCGAGCCTGCTGTTCTGCTTTTCCTACTCCAAGTTCACTCAAACCACTGTTGCTTGCCCCAGATGTTTTGTTTTCTCAGGTAGTGATAGGAGGGATTCCCAGAGCAAGCAAGCTGGGGGACCTGACCTACTCCTCACATCAGAAAACGCAAAGTAAAGGAGACCAGGGTGGAAGATGCAAGTAGGTATGACAAGAGGGCTTCAAGGCTGTGCAGGAAGAGTGCCCTGTTTTACATGGACAGATATTTTGCTTCAGCCCCTTTACATTATTAAAGCATACTGGAAAACAAAGTAGCAATATTCAGACCCTAGTCTGCGCCTTCAGTTCATTCTCTGCTACCAGCTAAGCTGCAGAGCTGTTCCTCCAAGGATGTTACCCCAGATGCTTTCCTAGCTCTCTGGCTGTATGCACACAACCAATCTGTCTGCTTGCTTTCCAATTAGGGCAGACACCTATGCCAATCTCCTAGGCAGGACTGGACAGCACAGCCCAGACCTGCTCAGTCCCATCTTACCCACTTCATACCACCACCAAGAGATGGGAGGAACATGCTGTGATAAAAATGATGTTTGCTGGGAGTTCCTGGAGGCTTTTATTTACAGAAGCTATTTGTTAGACACTAAAGCCTCTTGTTCTCTATCTGATGCTGACTTGATTTCTCTAGTTTGTGAAACAAAATGCCAGTGTCAGGTCCAAGCTGTCTCCCTTCAAAGGGACATGGCTTCCCATTGTAGCGTGGCAGAAACGTCAAACTTGAGATCTTTCTCTCTTCTGGCTCAACAGCCAGCCTGGAAAGCAACTTGTCTGCAGTGTGTGGGACCACTGGCTGCAGGAGAGTCCCATATACCCGCAGACATTCCAGAGTGACATGGATGATGGTGTCAAGCCAGAGCTTATCTGCAGGGTCTTTTCTGTCAAGTTTCCAAGGCTTGTGTCTCTGGAAGAAACCATTAGTCTGCCTTACACACAGGGCGATGCATTCTAAAGCCTTGTAGATCTGGAAATCTTCAAAATAACTAGCTACCTGCAGAGGCAGAGAAGCCACAGACACCACAAACTCATAGTCTTCAGCAGCAGCCCTCCCCAAGGCTTCTGCCTCCCTGTAATCCACAACCTTAGGAAAACAAGTCTCTGAGAAACACGGGTAAGTGTTGCTGGGGTTAATGCCAGGGGCTGTTGACCGATTCAGAAGTCCCCCAAGTGAATCTGCCAGTTCTGAATTCACAACCTTAACAACCTTCTCATCGTAATAATCACAATCCCTCTCAGGTACACCCTGCCTTAGCAGGAAATACCGAAATCCATCTACTGTGTATCGTTCATTACAAGCAAAGGGATCAATCACATTGCCCAGGCTTTTGGACATCTTCTGCCCACGGACAGTCCAGTGGGAGTGCACAAATATTCGCTCAGGCGGGGACAGCCCAGCTGCCATCAGCAGTGCTGGCCAGTAGACAGCATGAAATTTGAGGATGTCCTTGCCCACCACATGGTGTGCAGCGGGCCACCACTCACCATGCGTCTCAGGGTAGCCCAGAACACTCAAATAATTCACTAAGGCATCTACCCATACATAAATTGTTTGCGTTGAGTCACTGGGGACAGGGATACCCCACTGCAAACGGCTTCTCTCACGTGAGATGGACAAGTCTGGCAAGTCCTCTCCCAGCCAGCAAAGCACACGCTGGTAGAAAGGCTCAGGGGAAATGGCACGTGGGTTGTCACGAAGCCACTTCTGCAGTGGGTCCTGGAATGCAGACAGCTTGAACATGTAATTCTCCTCTTTGGTCCAGTGCACCTGAGAACACAGGAGGGGGAAAAAAAAAAAAAATTAGAGCTCAAATGCTCTGCGAATGGTTTCACAGCTTGCACACAGCATACTCAGCGTCGAGTTCCTCTGGAACTATTTCTCTTCACCATAAACTCAACAATTTCACTGAAACAACTTGTTTCAACAACTTACAATCATCCTCAGGGTTCCGAAGCCTGCAACCTCTATTCTGCATCTAAGGCTGCTTTCTCTGCCATAAAACGGATCTTTTCCCTCAACCACATTGTGTGCTTTATCAAGATATGCTATTTTACAACCTTACTCTTTCTGAGTGAGCCAACACTTGTATACCTCAGTCCTGAACATATACCAAAGGAGATTAATCTCTGCTTAGCTTTGAAGCATGATTATCTGCCACAGTTGAGTTAAATCATGCAACTCCTGACACTGTATAAAAAAAAAAACAGTGGTAGAGACACATTAGGTCAGGTACCCACACTCCTGATTCCAATGCTATTCAATGGTGAAACTAGCAACAAACAGCTAAGTCATGAACAGCTGTATTCTTCCTTTCATCCAACTCTTTTCATCACCACTTTAAAACACCGTTTCCAAGCCAACAGTCCATTCTGCAGCAGCAGAATCCCTTCTATGCCACATGACTGAAATCTGCACCTAACCCTTAGGGTCTGGGATCCCATTGGCAGCTCTCTCCCATTGAACCAAACACAGCTGTGAGATATAGAGAACATGCTTTGAAATCAAGGCAAGTCTCAGCTGACTCAGCTGAAGCACTACACAGACAGCATTTTCTTTTTCTAGAACAAAATAACAGGTGTGCAGCACTCATACAGAACAGCCTAAACTTGGTCAGCAAAGCTGGGGTGCTGTTACCTCATGGCCAGACTCCGCAGACACCTTGTGTGTGCAGCCCTGGGCATCCACCCGCTCCGTGAGCTGGCTTTCAGGCAGGAAGCCCTCCTCTGCCGTGCAGTACCAACCCTCATAGGTCCCTTTGTAGAGAGCCCCGCGCTCCTGCAGGGCAGCCCAGAAGTGACACACAGCTTGGCAGTGACGGGGCTCACTGGTGCGAACGAAGTCAGTGAAGGAGATGGCTGCCTGGGTGAAGGCCTGGTGGAACAGTGCTGAGATTCGTGCACAGAGTTCTGGGGGTGACGTTCCCGCTGCGGCTGCGGCCTGTTGGATCTTCAGCCCGTGCTCATCAGTCCCTGAAAAGCCAGAGATGGTCACGGAGAGGGGCTGTGGAGCCGTGCTGGGACACAGAGCCAGGGGAAACAGGGACAGCCCCAGGGACACGAGGGCTGGGGGTCAGCCCCAGGAATCACCAAGGCTGGAGGAGCCCTCTAAGGTCTCCAAGCCCAAGCCCAACCCACCCCCCCCCACTGACCACGTCCCTCAGTGCCACATCCCCACGGTTCTGGAACACCTCCGGGTATGTTGACCCCCCCACTTCCTTGTGCAGCTGTGCCGCTGCATCACCACACTTTCTCAGAATCATTTTCTTCCCCTGTATCCTGAAGAGGATGAATTAAACTTGAAGAGAAGCTCCGGACACAGGGACAGCCGCCACAGCCCGCGGGGCCCGGGGCCAGCCCTGGGAGAAGCCGAGGCTGGAAAGCGCAGGCCCCACGCTCACCTGTGGAGAGGCGGCTCGGCCCGGCGCTCCGGAGGCCGCGTTGGCGGTGCAGCGCGTCGGCCAACAGAGCAGAGTAGAGGTGTCCGATGTGAGGCGGCCCGTTAGCGTAGAAAATGGGCGTGGAGAGCAGCAGGCGGCGACCGGGCCCGGCGGTGGAAACAGCGCGACGGAACGCCTGCGGGAGGCGGAGAGGAGGCCGCAGCATGACGGCGGCGGCGACGGAACCATAGAGACGGCGGCGGAACCACAGAGACGGCGGCGCAGAGCGGCCGCGCGCGCGAGGGCGGATGGGAGAGAGGCGGGGGACGCGGCAGCCAATGAGAAGCCGGCTTGCTGGCGGCCGCGCGTGCGCCTTGCGGGCGGCGGGGGCGGCGCGAGGTCGAGCTGAGGGAGCGGCGCGCGATGAGCGGCGCCATGTCGTGCTGCCGCCTGGCCGCCGCCGCGCTGCGCCCCCTCAGCTCCGTGCAACGCGGCCGATCCGCCGCAGGTGAGTGGGGACGGGGCGGGCTCGGCTCTGTGAGGGCATCCGCGCACCGCCTGGCGTCCGGGGGGATGTCGGGCACGGGCGCGGCCCGCTGTGAGCGGAGCGCAATGAGAGGCGCAGTGAGAGTCCCGCCCGCGGATGGCTTTATCTGAGCCGGCGGCCCCGCCGCTCCTCGGCTGTGGGACGGCCGAGCTGCCCGCCGAGCCGCTGCTTTCCGTGGCGTGCATCAGCGGAGCCTCCTCTGCTGGCAGGGATTCCTTGCGGCTGTACGCACGGCTGCCGGTTGCCCCGTGCGGGTGTTGGAGCCCCGGGGCAGGGCAGGGAGCGCTGTGCATTTTTCCTGCGGCCGTTCTTGTTAATTTCTTTAATTGCGTTTTGATCTTTGGTACCCGCGGCAGCCTGCGGCAGGCTCGGAGCCGTTTGTTTTGGCAGAGGAATTCACTGCAGTCGCTCAGATGTGGTACACCGGGCTTTGCAAACGAGCAGCTCATTTACTCAGCTTAAGAAACGATTTGCTCTCTGAATTTCAAAACGTACCTTTGTATTGCCAGTCTTGGTGTTCTTGTCTAAGAAGCTGCACTGCTGGGTCACCTTGTTGCAGTGCTGGAATGTTCCCGTGCAGATGAGCAGACAAGCGGCTCTCCGTGCTCTGCCTGGGGGCAAAAGCTTCTGGTTTTGCCCTTGTGGGTTTCTCAGCATGAGAAGATGTACGTGTGAGCAGCTTGCAGAGCGACAGCTCTCCTGTCAGACCTCTGGGGGAAGCAGCTCTGATCTGTCATTCAGGATATTCATTTCTGAACGTTAAAAGCTTCTTTGTGAAGTAGAACTGCTCTGTGATGGTGTGGGCATCCATTGCCATTGGCAGTCAACATGGAGCTGGCAGGAAAGTTGTGCTAAAGCTTTAGAGAAGGGCCAGAATCCATGGTGTGACCTGATGCTAAATCTTCGTTTGCTTTTAGTTTATATTTCACTCACTGTCTGCTGAAAAGCTTGGTAGAAAAAAAAAATCTTTGATGCTATTAATAAAGAAAACATATATTAAATAGGCTCTTGAGAGAACTGCGTGTTCCCAGTGCCTCCTCTCCCTGCCCCAGTCTACACTGGAAATTAAAAGGTCAAACTCAAATGAATCATTAACTTTCAATGTAGAAGGTGGCATAAATAATTGAGGGGTATTCATATTCTGAGTTGCAAAATGTTAATGTCTGTCCCTCTAAGCAGTGGGGTTTCCTTTCCTTTTTCAGTGTTGTTTTCTTTTTTTTGACCAACAAGTTAATTGAAAATGTACTGTTCTCCTCTCAGGCTCTGTGTAATTGGGAGTCCTTAATACTCAGCACTTCTCCCTCTGTTCTCTCATTGCTTGTCTTCCCCTGCAGTTTTGCAATGCCATCACCTGAGATACCCTTCGAGAGCACTGACATCTTCAGGTGTTCCTGGCAAAGCTAGCAGCAACCTACTGCTGTATTTAATTGTGGGAGGAACAGTCACTGGGACAGGAGCTTATGTAAGATGCTTAAATAAATGTGCTTTTACTGGGGAAAAGGGTGGAGGGAGGGTACCATCTTTACCTTAATTATTTTTGGTAATGAGTTCTCGCTTTCTGCTGTTTTTGTCATTGCTTCTTTTCACTTGATATGCTTCTGTCTGTCTCACTTCTTTTCTGTGCCGTGCATTAAATTCCTTGGTTCTTCTTTGCATCTGTTTGTAATGTTATAAAATGCTTGATTATGGGTAAAATGCACAACATCTAGGGAATAAAAGAGATGTTAACTCCTCAAAATAATTCACTTCTGTTCAATCAGACAATTGGTTCTGCAGCCCAAGGACCAAATATATGCAGAAAACTTCATTGCTTGCTCATGGAAAGCAATCAGCCTGCTGAGTCCCATCCTATCATAAGTAGAACAGCTATGTGTATATCCACAGATGCTTTTTAAACTCAGGTATATCTGGGTTTGTTTGCTTTAATTGAAAACATGCATTTTCTGAGCAAGTAGGATAGACAGAAGTTTATGGGGAATAGAAGCAGAATGATGCCCTGATGCTGTAACACACACAAGGTGCCTTCTTGTCTGTCTCCAGGTATACAAAACATTGAGGGAAAACAAGGAGAGATTCACCAGCCGTGTCACAACAGTAACAACACGGTCCCAAGAAAAGGAATCATCTCCTTCTGGTGGGTACTTGCCTGCAGTTCTGGGTTTGGAGCTGTTTTTCATGAGCTGCTAACTTGAGGCATGCAAAACAAATAGAATGGAGCCTGCCTGAAAACACAGTGGTAAAAGGAGGAGAGGCCCTGCTTTGGGCTATCACCTTTTCCCGGCCTGGCAAAGGAGCAGTGCAGTTCCCAGCACAAAATGCTCAATGCTGAGCCATGTCCTTGTTCCATTTAAGGAGTATTATAGAGGGAGAAATGAGGACAAAGTAGCAAAGCTCTTGATAATTTCTTGCAGACTGTATATGGACCACAGGTCACTCATTGAAGGTCACATGAGTGTGCGGATGTAGCTTAGAGAAACTAAATTGGCTGAAATGTGGCACTATGAGTTGTGCAGGAAGCAGGCCTCAAGAGAAGTAGGTTCTTAGGAAATACGGTGAGATAGAAAGGAAGAAGGGAGGAGAGTGTATTTGTAGTGTTGTCTGCCAAAGGAGGTCTGTATGTGGAAAAAGATCTGGTGACACACTGTTCTTTGCATGCGGACAGTTTTCCGTGCTGCATCTGCAGTCAACTGTCTGATCTGTTTCCTGCAGCTTCAGAAGCTCGCCCTGAGGTCCCATCTCATGTTCCTTTCCTGCTCATTGGTGGAGGAACTGCTGCTTTTGCTGCTGCCCGATCTATTCGGGCTCGTGACCCCGGTGCCCGGGTAAGGGATGCCCTGTTCTAGAGAAGATTCATGTGGATGGCTGAGTACATTCTTGCTTTAGAGCCTACGTAATGCTTTGATGTTTGACAGCATTGGTGTAGCTGATCTGTTTGATGACTGCTTGTTTAAAGGTACTGATTGTGTCTGAAGATCCAGCACTGCCCTACATGCGTCCACCTCTCTCCAAAGAGCTGTGGTTTTCAGATGATCCCCACGTAACAGAGACTCTGCGGTTCAAACAGTGGAATGGCAAAGAAAGGAGGTATGTGTCACTTGGGCAGTGAAAAAAAAGAGGAGAGTCTATGGAAAAGTTTATCAAAGTATTCTTGTGAGAGAGCCACTGGGAGCTCTGTAGTGTTCAGAAGGCAGTTTGTGGATACTGAGTAGCACTGTGTTTGTGATGAAGGCCCTGTGTGCATATCTGTGTGCATTGTTGGTTGACTGATCCAAAAAGGAACAGAGCATTGCATGCTGTGGGCAGAATTTGTGTTGTTTGCAATGGGCCAGTCTTGACTCCAACACAATAGCCTCGCCTCCACTGCCAACCCTTAAATGAGGGCTGGGAAGGGGTGGATCCTGGCTCCTTCCCTTCCATCACTCAGTACATTGCATGCACCTGAGCTCCCCTGGGCTGGCCCTGCCTTCCCACCAGGTGCTCCATCACTGCTTCAGGCTGTGACTCAACATTTTTGCTACAGTCTGCCACTAACAGGAGAAATCTTGTGAAATAAGTTAACAGTAGATGTGAGCATTAAAGCCTTGCAGTTCAGGACAGAGCTCCTGGAACTTTGGATCCCATTGGATCCCTCTGATATTTGTGGTCTTAACTCTTACTGATCTAAACACTTGAATTTAACAGCATGCAGCAGCTAATTCTTTGCTATTTCTGAAGTTTGTTATGGTTGCACAGAGTTGCTTTCATGTCATTGGTAGTTTCTGTATAGCTGGTATCAAAGAGTAACTGGAACACATCTGCTACTTGATCTTTTCCCAGTATATATTTCCAGCCACCATCATTCTATGTGCACGCTCGTGATTTGCCTTTTGTAGAAAATGGTGGAGTAGCAGTTCTCAGTGGCAGGAAGGTGAGTACTACACTGCTAGCTGTCAATCTAATGTCATACAGTTCTTCCCAAGCAGAGCCCGTGTCTGAGCTGAAAATAAACAGCTGTAGATGGTGTTGTGGAGGTTGGCTGAGGAGAAGAATGTGGAAAATTTTCAGAAACGTGTATACAGTGAATCAGGGACTATCCTAATATTAAAGACAGCATGTGTGAAGCTTGAAAGCAGGAGAAGCTATGAGGAGTAGTAGCTAAAGGTAAGATGACAGTCTGTGTGTGGGATAAGAATATGTAGAGCTTAGAGACTGTGTGACAAAATGAGAGCTAAGCTGCATATGAGTTTGGAAGGTGAGGTGAATAGAATGTCATCTAAGTAGTGGATTACAACATAAATAAAAGCACAGTACAGAGGCAGCAGAAAGGTGGAAAAAATTATTGTTTCCTCAGTTCTCTGTATCTTGCTAAAATAAAGAATTTAGTGTTCTTACTGCTGAACTGTTTCTTAAATTCATATCCTGGGATAATCAGTCTAATTGTCATTGCTACCAAAAGAAACTCTGAATCATATTTTCAGTTCCCCCCTCACTGAAAAATTACAGAGCAATTCAAAGGTGTGAAAATGTTGCTTCCGAGTATTCTTCTCTTATTTGGTAGTATGTGCAATCTATCTCAAGTAGAGAGCCTACAGTGAGTGGAAGCCTGAGCTCCCCTGCTTTTTTTTTTTTTTTTCCCTGGCAGGTTGTGCATATGGATGTGAGAGGCAACACTGTGAAACTCAATGATGGTACCCAGATATCCTATGATAAATGTCTAATTGCAACTGGTAAGGCTTTTGTTTTTATCTCCTCCTGTTGTTTATGTTGTGTCAGGCTTTTGATTTCAGTGGCATTAACTGACAAGCCTCTGCCATGTGGCAGAGCAGTCACACAAAGAGCAGTAATACAGACAAATGTGGCACTGGGTTTTTCACTTGCTTTATGTAAGCCAGCTTCTCTGGGATGTTCAAAGTTTTACTCAGAATCAGCAAGGAAAGAGGAAAAGGTGACTGCCATAGCAGCTGGGTAAAGGCACTCCTCTACAGTCAGGTGTTTTAAAATCCTGCCTTTAGCAGTAGCAAAGAGAACATCCAGCTCTTACCTTGGCAGAGCACTGCTTCAGCATCTAGCCCTAGCAGTTACATCCTTGTGTGCTTAATATGGAACTGACTTTCTCAGTGGAGAAAGGTGTATGGCATGAGGTTGTCTGTGGGGGGTGTTTTTGCTTGCTTGTTTTAACTCTGACTGCAGAGCCATACACTGCTTGCACAGAAACTCTTCCATGGTGAAAACCAGAGGGCAACAGAGAATAGAGCGTATTGTAACAGCTTTCAAAGTGCAGTTCAGATGGGTGATAGCTCTGCGTTGCTGACATGGCCAGCAGTCATTAGTATTTCTCTCTCCCTGTCTTTCTTCCCCTCCCTTCCACCCTGTCCTCAGGTGGTTCCCCAAGGAACCTGCCCGCCATCGAAAGGGCTGGAAAAGATGTACAACAACGGCTGACGCTGTTCCGAAAGGTAATCTACAGGCACTGGGGTGAGGCTGAAGTCATCACAAACACCACCAGCATTTTCAGCTTGTTAACTCTTCTGCTTTGGGTCCAGGACAGCCTTGCCTTGGCTACCAGCTACCCTCGGCTGCTAACCAAGGATCCATTTACTACTTATTCTTTTCCCTGAGCACGTGAAAAGCATAAAGTCTGACGTTGCTCTCCCCCTTAGCCTGAGACATTCCTCTCATACACTGAAGTTTTAGCTGAGTTTTTGTGTTAGCTCTTGGATTAGCTTAGGTAGTTTGCTGATATTCTAATGTCCATGTCTTCTTCATGGCATTTCTTCACCTTCATCCTGTGCCTTAGGGGAAAGTGGATGAAAGAATTAAAGTTTGTTGGTGGACTCCTAGTTTTCATTGGAGAGATGCTTTTTGTTGACAAGCTGCACATTTCTTGAAATTGTGGGGTTTACAACAGACAAGGAGTTTCTTCCTTAGTCTGGTTCAGGGAATGAATCAAGAATAAGGAGCCCTGTGGAAATGTTCTGCCCTGCACTGAACTTGCCCTGGCCTGGTCACTGTCAGGTCTGGTGTGATCTGTTCAGCTGTGTAAGGCATGTGTAAAATACATGTAATGGGAGACAAGGTGTTGTAGTACTGTGTGTGCTGTAGATCATTTGCATCTGGAAATTTCATTGCAATTTCCTCTTGACACGTGGGAGAAAATGCTGAGATTGTGCAAGTTTTTCCCTGTCAGCTAACACTAGGAAGCCAGAGGGTTTGGTTTTTTCTTTCCTTTTTTTCTTTTTCTTTCTGTGCAATAGAGGAAGAGGAGGAAGGAGAAACATGTCTCCCATTCTAAGTCAAGGAAAGAGTTGCTCTTATTTCAAAGGGAGAAATTGCAGAATTTTCCCACTGCCATTCCTGCTTGAAATGAGAATAAATCTTCTTTCAGATTGAGGACTTCAGAAGTCTGGAGAAGATTTCAAGACAAGTCAAGTCCATCACAATTATTGGTGGTGGTTTTCTTGGCAGTGAGCTGGCCTGTGCTCTGGGAAGAAGAGGTAAGTGCACTCCAGCAGGCAGCTTGCTTCAGCTGGCAGCTTTACAGAAGTGGCAGGCATTGAATGCAATCAGCCTGACATTGCAAACCACTTTTTTATTACACATCTGCTGAATTTTTGCACAGATTTGCTCTTTGCTTTCCTTTCAGCACAAACCAGAAACCTGGAGGTGATTCAGCTGTTTCCAGAGAATGGTAATATGGGCAAAGTCTTGCCTGAATATCTGAGCAACTGGACCACAGAGAAAGTCAGAAGAGGTGAAGCTGTGCTCCAGTGCTGCTCCTCCTGCTTCAACTGGAGTCTGCCTGGCCCTGTGCAAGCAGTTACATTTCCCTTTTGTTTCCAGAGGGTGTTAATGTTATGCCTAATGCTGTGGTCAAGTCTGTCTCTGTTTCTGGAAATCGGCTGGTGATTAAACTGAAAGATGGCCGAAAGGTAAATCTGAATGCTGGGGGTGGGAATGGGGCCTCTGAGAGAAACAGAATAACTGTTACAAATTCTCCCACAGGTGGAGACTGATCACATTGTGGCTGCAGTTGGGCTGGAGCCTAATGTGGAATTAGCAAAGTCTGCTGGTCTGGAGGTGGATTCTGACTTTGGAGGGTTCAGGGTGAATGCAGAGCTGCAGGCACGCTCCAATATCTGGGTGGTGAGTACATGTGAAGGGGTTTTCTTCCAGCTGCTTAGACCAATGCAGTCAAAGTGCCTTGAATTCTGGGGGCTGGCATACCTAAGTTAGGTGAATAATGCAAAAAATGGCAAGTAATGAAACCAGGTGTTGTGCCTTGGAGCCTGTTCCTGCACTACAACGTGCTTTGGTACCGTGGTAATGACTGCACTCCTTTGAATATTTGTGCTCCTTAAGAAAACTTGGGGTAACTTAAAGGTAGCATGGGTTACTGTGTTGTGCAAGAGCCCTTTTGGTGGGAGCTGAGACTGATTCCTCTGGAAAAAAAACCAACACATACCTGATGCTGTCTTAAATTTTCTGCAGCTCAGTGAAAAATGTTGAGAAGATAGAACTGGCATAGCCTGGGAAATGAAAGACAGTGTGAATGAGTGGAGGCTGTCAGAACAGCTCAATTCCTTATTTCAGTCATCTTTGTCCCAGTGCCTCTTCTCTTTTGTGTGTTCATTTGGGCTTTTGATGTCTGTGTTCAGTCATCACTGAATGAATTTCTCTTTAAGGCTGGGGATGCTGCTTGCTTCTATGATATCAAACTAGGTAGAAGACGTGTAGAGCACCATGATCACGCTGTTGTGAGTGGCAGACTAGCTGGAGAGAACATGACGGGAGCTGCAAAGCCCTACTGGCATCAGTCTATGTTCTGGTAATGCTGAGTGCTTGTAAAGTTTCTTATTTGACCATATTGTTAGGAGCTCTGACAAGATACACCTTGTAAAGCTTCCTGTTTTCAGACTGTAATAAATCCAGAGCAAATACCTGTACAGCTTATTTGCAGAGTCTCAGGGAACTGGAGCACATGTGAGCTTTCACTGCCCTGCCTTCTCTAAGCTATTTTTCTCCCCTGCAGAATCCAGTTTCTCCCCAGTTGTGTGTAATTCAACAAAGCAAGAAGCAAGAAATAGCAGCCCCTTTCTTAAAGCAGGTTAATCTGCACATTGAAATTCACAACTTCTCTGTTACAATTATTGGAAACTCCCCAGCACAATCTGTTGGTTTCAGTTCTGTTGGACCTTTGCTGGTTAGCTCCACTGGTGCCTTGATAGCAACACAGCAGTGTACTCAGGCCTATTTTTGAAAGCATTTATTCGTATGGAATGGAGAAAACAAGGCATTTTCTTTTAAATTCTTTAAAAAGAGAGCAAAAACTTGTCTGCTGGCTCAGAATGTACCAGAAGTAGAGTTAGCACAAATTTAAATGTGGGAAAAGAGCTTTTGCTCCTTGGGGAAGAATCCTCTCCAAAAAAATTCCTTACAACTCCTCATCATGTGTCTGAACACTTGGTCTGTACTACATGGGTTCTGCACACAGAACATTTATTACTCAGCTGTTAAATGAGGATACTGAAGAACCTTTTGACTGTGTGTTTTCCTTTGAGGTGCTCTGTGAGACTGGGGGCTGTGAGCTGCAGCCTCGAGTGTGGCTGGCAGGTACTCAGTGAAAGTCTGCCAGCCTTTGCTGACTTAGATGTCCTTTTCCTGTGCTAAAAAGTTGCCAAACAGCAGGCAATCCTTAAACAGTTTTCCCAGTGTTCAGGGTTCCCGCAGAGCTCTGTGGTTCTAACTCAGGCAAGACATTTGTATAATCCATGAATACACGGATGTTATAATTAAGAAATATACAGGAAAATTAGGCTGAACAGGTTATCAAACTAAAGAAGAATAGCTGGAAAGCTTACCCTTGTCCTGGGCTCACTGAGAAGACTCCAAGAGGAGCAATCTCCAGAAGAGATCCGTCCCTCCTGGTAGTCAGCTCTTAAATGGGGCCTAGGAGAGGTGCAGCCAGGCTCCACCCCTTCCAGTAGCACAAGAGAATTGCCTTCACCTGTGCTCCCAGAGCTGACTCAGTGCTCACCTCAGGTGGTCAATCAGAGGTTCAGGCTGATTCAGCAGTTCCCATACAACATTTGATCAGATGGCCTCATCTGGAACCCAGAGAAGCACTTGCTTCTGCCCCAGCTCTGTCTCCAAGTTTCATCAGCACTCACTGAACAACACAGAAGATTTCTGCCAGTACCTACTAATTGTGTACCTACTGATTATGTCCTGTTGTTCCTATCTGGGTCCTGAGCTTAGGTGTGTAACTTCCTAAAAGGTCAAGGTACACACAGCTCATGGAAGCAGCCTGGCTTCCTTCAAGGAGAAATCTGACATGTTTTGAGTTTCTGTTCGTTAAACTGGTTTCTTCTGAAACGGATGCACTGTTTTGATTCCTCCTTACACAACAGTCACTAGGATTTGGAATTGCTGTGTGTTTGTAATGCTGTTCCTACAGACAAGCTTTGTTGTTGTTGTTAATTCCTAGGAGCGATCTGGGTCCTGATGTGGGCTATGAAGCAATCGGCCTCGTTGATAGTACCTTGCCAACAGTAGGGGTCTTTGCTAAAGCAACAGCAAAAGACACACCAAAATCTGCAACAGAGCAGTCAGGTAGGTTCATGGCCTTCCTTGGGAGATGTCTGCCTGCATGGAGGCTTTTGTGGCTGGCTGTGTGCGGCCACAGAGACGACTTGGTCTCACTGTGAAGCTCTATGAGAAATCCACCTGTGTGCTCTATTCTAGACCAAGCTTTAAATGCTGATTTTGATGTTAAAATGTGATAAAAACATAATGTTCCACTAGATCAAAATACAGTTTATTTACCATATTAAACAGTAAGAGGGAAAGTTTAGAAGAGGTACAAGGAAGAAACTCTTTCCTTGGGGGGTGATGGGATACTGGCACAGGTTGTCCAGAGAAGTTGTGTGCCCCATCCCTGGGGGTGCTCAGGGCCAGGTTGGGTGGCCATTCCCATGGTGTGGGGTTGGAAGTAGTTGATCTTTGAAGGTCTCTGTGAACCCAAAGCATCCTGTGATTCTGTGGGGTATTTGGTAATGGAAGCTGGGAGTTGTCAGAGTTGTGCTTTGTGTTAGGATTGCTGCTTTATTGTGTTACAGAAGCTTTTGCTGGACACAACTTGAAAGCACACCTAAGTCTTTTACAAAAGCCGTCTGTCTGTCCTGCTTTCCCTAGCACAGAGCTCCTCCTTTTTTCTGCCCTGGATGTTTGATATCTCCCTTCTTTGCCCTAGGGACAGGTATTCGATCAGAAAGTGAAACAGAAGCAGAAGCCTCAGAAGTTCCCATTTCTCCAAGCTCTTCACCAACGCCTCAAGTTCCAAAAGAAGGAGAAGATTATGGCAAAGGTGTCATTTTCTACCTCAGGGATAAAGTGGTGGTAGGAATTGTATTATGGAACATCTTCAACAGGATGCCCATTGCTCGAAAGGTCAGTAGAGGACGAGTATGCTGAACCAGTGGGGCTGTGGCATTCAGCTTGCTTAGATCCAGGACCTTCTTGTGGAAAAATCAATCTACCAGTAGATAATGAGGACACACAAAGGCAGATATTATTCTAGCATGAAATTAGCAGCATGATAAATGAGAGGAGCATATGGTCTTTCTGGACTTGATTAAGAGTTATGACACTGTACCTCTCCTCACAAACAAACTGATGCAGCTGGGGCTGGGTGAGCAGTGAGGTGTATTGCAAAGTGGCTGAAGGGCCAAGGCCAGAGGGTGGGGATCAGTGATGCCAAGTCTATTTGAGGGCAGTCATAGGCAGGGTACCCCAGGGGTCAATGCATCTCACAGTATCACTTATAGCATATACAAGTTATAATGCATATTTCCTTCTTTCAGATCATCAAAGATGGGGAGGAGCATGCTGATCTCAATGAAGTAGCAAAGCTTTTCAACATCCATGAAGACTAAACTCCAGGATCATTGCAATAGGAATGAGTAGGGCTGTGTTTGTCCCTGCGGTTTGGAGAACTTGCTTTGAGCACTTGTGAATATTTCCCATCACCTAGAGTTCTAATATTTCACCAATAAAATCAGATTCTTCTAAGTTAAGTGCCTCCTTCCTGCACTTGTGCATTGCTGGTTTTGAAAGGGCAGTATGTCGCGTGCTGCTGCTGTTAGTTTTTCCCTCTTATCAACACCAGAGAAGCCTGCAGAGGTGTTTGTTTTCTCACAGCACTGCCTGGCTGGTGAGCTTTCTGTCCTGACTGGGTGGAGGGCTGTGCTTGTTGTAACAAATGCTGCCAGCATAGGAAAATTCTGCCCTGATGGGATGAAATAGCCCATGGAGGAACTGATAGGTATAACCTGCTACAATCAGGCTGCCTGGAGACCCTCCAGCTCACTTCCCCTCCTTCTGTCTGTGATTTGAGTCAGGGACCCTAAAAACTTCAGTGCTGCTGTTGATTTGTCCTGTTCTACTCATACTTGCACCGCATTGTATCACGTTGGGCAAGTGTGGAACCTCACCTTGGTGTTGGGATGGGAGCACTGAAATGAGCCATCTACCCTCCCAATTTTTGAGGCTGTTCTTTGCTGCTCTGTTGTTCCCATATGAATGATGCCATGTGCAGTGCTCGTACCCCTCAGGGTGGTGGGGCACAGCCCAGGCTTTCCTTTCACAGTCCTGCATTGTTAGGGCATTCCTGCTCCCCTTGATCTCCAGTTTTACAGTCTGATCAGCAACTGGATAGACGTGATGGAGAACCTTACTGGGTCTAATGCTGAAGGCACACCCAGACAGGGCTTTTATTACAGGGATTGGAATGGGCCTGCAGTGTGTCAAAAAGCTCAGGAGCTCCTCCACTATTTTCTCCAGGTCTCAGGGAGGGGCACCAGGGAACCACAGCTCTTGCCAGAGCTTCAGACTGAGCTCAACGAAGTACAAAGGGCAGCACGAGGCCAGTGTATGCACCCATGGAGAGCTAGGAGAAAACCAAAGTGAGAAGCAAGAAATGTTATTTCTTCAGGCTGGGTTTGCTCACCACGAGATGCCCCCTCCCTCTCAGAGTTCTTTGTTTTGGCACAGAGTGATGATGAGAAAGGGGAGCTGGCAAACCACGCTGTCCAGACGTGGGCACAGGGGGAGGGCAGCCTGGCTGCCAGCAGAGTTGCTGCATCCTCCTGCCCCTGGCAAGGCCCAGGGAAGCAGTGCAGCCGCTCTCCCCCAGGTGAGGAGCTACAGCACGTGTTTCAGTCCTACACAGGTTAGTGAGCGACTGCTGCAGTGTTGGGGCTCATCCTGCTGGTAGCAACACACCAATGCTAGCACACCTCCCACAGTGCTGCAACAACTCCCCCCTGAACTGAGCCAGGGCAGAACTGCAGGCATGGAGACCTCCCCCAGCCCTCACACTACCAACAGCACATCCCCCTCCCCAGGCTTTGGGCCCTGGCTGATGGGAGGGAGCTGAAGTCCCTCCCTCCACTGCAGCCCCACAGCTCTGCTGGGCACAGCAGGCACCATACAAAGAAGAAGAGGCAAGAGACAGGGGGCCTGATGCAGGTTTTTTTCTGTACATAAGTGTTTTTGACACCACAGCCTGTTGCTTATAATAAAACAGAAATCAGAAAGAGCAGCCAGAATACACACCCAAAGGCAAAAATCCTCGGCTTAAAAAAGGAGTGGCCAGACCCCAGTGAGGGGAGGCCAGCAGCTGGGAGTCCAAGGGGGAAAAGGTACACCTGCCCTGGCTGGGAAGAAAAACAACACAAAGAAAAAACGAACCAAAAACAAAAAAACCAAACACCCAGTGCTCCCACTGCTGAGCAGAGGAGAGACAGAAAAAAAAAAAAACCCGAAACAAAAACAGATTGTCCCATCCTCAGAGTCCTGTTAGCACCTGTACAATAAAACTGTACCATCTACCGGGAGCGCAGCAGCCCTGCCCTGTGCCTGCTCTCTCCGGTAGAGCTGCTCCCAACGACACAGGAGGGGGAAAGGCTGAGCAGACACCGTGCAGGGCAAGAGGGGAGAGAGCCCAGCGGGGCTGAGCTGCTGGAAGTGTGGGCTGCCTCTGTATGACAGCTGTTGGGGGAGGGAGCAGCAGTGCGACCGAAACGCAGAAGGAACCTGGTGAGGATGGAGCAGAGCGGGTGAGAGTGCCTTCAGCAGAAGCCAGCTCCAATGCTAAGAGATGGGACCGTCCCCAGGCTCTCAGCCGAGGTGCCAGAGCCACAGACCCCAGTTCTGCAGCTCAGGGTGGTGCTCCAGGGGAGCGCAGGCCCTGGGGAGTGCTGGAGAGGGGCCAGAGGAAGCCCTCATCCCATAGCCCGGAGCTCACATAATCACAGTGATACAGACTGCAAAAACAAAAGGAAACGTAACAAATTAAATACTAATTAAATAAATACTATGGAAGACATCGGGGGTGGGGTGGAGGGCAGACAGAGAGGTGCAGTTCCACGGGGTCAGGCAGGGACGGGCGGTGGCACCCACTGCCCCACGCTGCAGTAGAGCTTGAGCCAATCGCTGCCCCACAACGCCCCACAGAGAGGGTCCACCTCCCTCTGCTGCTGCTGGATGGGGCTGCCAGAGCTGCGACCGCTGCTGCTCATCACAAAGAAACCCCAGGAAGTCCTTGGAGGCAGCGTCCTCTCCCCCCAGCCAGCACCGAGGCACCGCCGGGAGGAGATCAGCTGGCTGAAGCCTCAGGTCCTTGCTGCTGGCTCAAAGAGGGCTGCTTCCCATTGGTCCTTATTATTGCCTCATGATGCAGGGAGCGATCTGCCCCCGTCAGCTGCTCCACGCCTCGTATTCCACGGCAGAGCCCAGCAGCTGCAGCAGCTCGGGCTCATAGTGCACCAGCTCCACTGTCTCTGCAGCACCCTGTGCCGGCTCGGGGCTCTCCTGCACCTCGTCCTGGGCCAGCACCTGGCTGAGGGCCACCTGGCGTTGGAACTCAGCCCTGGGCAACGTGGCAATCTCAAAGTGTGGGAAGCGGGCCTGGAAGATGCGGGAGGACAGCTTCAGCCGCTTCAGCACGTCGGAGAAGAGGAACCAGTTGCAGGGCCTGTGAGGATAACAAGGTCAGGGAATGCACCAGCAGCATTCCCAGCCAGCAGGAATCACAGCAGGGCTTTTAGCTGCCAATGAATCCCAGGCTGGGGCTTCTCAAAGCACATCTAGGCCATAGAAGAGCCAACCTAAGCCAGCCCCCCAGCACCGCAGTCCCTGCAGGGCTGCACCCAGTGGTTCATTTCAGCCCAATGCTCCCTTCCTGCCCACGGCCAAATAAATCCCACTGTGAATTCTTTCCCAAGGTGATCGCCTCAAGGATGGACCTCTGAGAATCAAATCACACCTTGGTGTCTTCCACTTCCTTCACTGACGTGGGGCATAGCAATGTTCTATCCTCAACATTTTTCTAAAAGTAAGTATGTTGTGCTTCATTATGAGGTGGTATAAGACAGAGAGAGCCACAAGGAGTGCCCCATCAGCAGCTATTTACTGCTAAGAGGAAAGCTGCCCTACAGCCATGGCTGCCCTACAGCCATGAATCCTTCAGAATAAGGATGAAGGTGTTCTTCTCCCCTGGGAAAGTGGTTTGAAATGTACAGGGCAAAAACATGAAACACTGTCCTGCCTGTCTCCTTGGCCAGCAGTCACTTTGGGCTCTCAAGAGTACCTCAAAGCACGCAGGCTTTTTCAATACAAGAACATTTCATATTAACTCCACCCTGGAGGGCAATCTCCAGGCTCACGAGCACCCCCCCACCCTACCCCTCCAATGTAGCATTAATGTCACTCAAACGCTCCCCATTCCAGGAGAAGATACCCACCCCCGAGAGACGGACACTTGGAGGTTGTAGCTGGGCAGCAGTGGCTTGTCTGAGAACTCAAACATGAAGTTGTCAGGTTCCTGTTCTTCTTCCTCCTGGTCTGAACTGCCTGGAGGGTTGAGCAGAAGATCGCATCCAATGCTGTCTTTTCCCTCTGCAACAAGAAAGACAGATGTTGGTGTTGCTCACGCTTTCACTCCATCATCCCATGGGGAGCAGCTCTGCCCAACCAGACTGGCTGCCACTACAGTCCCATGTGCACATTCCCACAGCATCACACTGAATTCAATTGGTGAGTCCCAGCATCCTCCTGCTCTTCTTCCAGTCCCTCATCTCTGAGAAACTCAGAGCGAGTGCAGAGCTGCTCTGTACAGAGAGCTGCCTGAAAACTCCCCTCGGTGAGCAGACAGGGTAGGAAAAACACCTTACACTGAGAGTAGGATGCCACTGATCCCACACGTGAGACAAAGCACTGCCTGCTTGCAAAATGAGACACTTTGACTTGGCACTCTTTTCAGGGATCAAGCTCACGCTGGTCCTTGAGGACCAGGCTCATCAAAACACCCTCAGCCCTCCACTCCTCTGCAGCCTGGGAGAACCTGCTCCACTTGAGAAGAATGGAGGAGATGCTTTGTCTGCACAGATCCCATAAAGGAAGGCACTGCTCTCTCCTTGCTGACCACCCAGATCCCACTCTCAACAACTGCCAGCAGGTTATTGAGGTGTGTGCCAGAAATTGTGTCTAAATATGGGCTGCCAAGCTGTGCTACCCAACTGCACAGCAGATCTGAGCACAAATACAACAGAACAACAAGAAGCATGACAGCTGAGGATCACCCCATAAGGTTTCTGGCTTGCAGAAACCTTGGACTTGTTTTTGTCCTGCTGAGTTAATGTCTCCAAAAACTTTCAGAATATACTAGAGGTAAGATCCCATAGAGAAAAGCAGACTAAATGTGCTGAGAAGCAAATAAACCATTTGTGCAAAATAAAAAATAATAAAAAACTCAACACCACAATGCATGGAAGAAAAGGCTACAAAAAAAAATCTTAAGGTGTGCTGCCCTAGAAATATCCATGCACTGCACTGCACCAAGCAAGAATGTTAATAGGGAAACAACAGCAGGTGACAGGAGGCGTGCATTCAAACAGGCTGCTTAAATCTTCAAGAGTTACTGCAGAAAGGAGCAAAAATAAGGAATGTGAATGTTGGTCTGAGATCACTGCTGGACAAAGCTGAAATACCATGGCTGGAAAAAAAAAAAAAAAAATCCCATTTCTTGAGCAACCCAGGAAAAAGAAAATCAAATGCATTCAATGTGGACTAAACATGGTCCAACATCTCAGCCCTGTCTGTTAGCCAAGTGAGAGCTACTCACAAACAAGAACATCCCAACCCACTGTAAGGCAGAGATGAACAAGCACAGCAATGCTAATCCCAAATGCAGAAGAAACCCTGGAATGGCACTCTGTTTGTAGAGTGACGTGAGCACGAAGGGCATCAGGCTGATGAGCTTACCATAGCCAGACCTGAGAGATCTCACACTCCCATTTCTCTCGTTATCTTTTGGCCCCAAGAGATGTGCAGACCTAAGGGAAACTGTGGACAGCTTTCCTGCCTTGAAGAATAGAAATGGACTGAGCATTTCCTAGGGTTTCTCCTCCACCCTCAGTGACGTGTAATGAAAAGGGACACTTGGAAGAACTGAACCTCTGAAAGCCCCTTTAGATACTGCAAGGCTGCAATAAAAGCTCCCTGGAGCCTTCTCTTCTCCAAGTTGAAGGACCCCAACTGTTTCAACAACCTGTTCTCGTAGGATAGCTGCCCCAGCCCTCTGATCACACAGTCCTGAAGCTGTGTCCATCAAAGCACGCGGGACAACAGTCCAGAAGGATCCACAAAAGCATCTTACCAAAGAAAAAATCCCTATCAGGAGCAGTGGGAACTCTCAGTATGTAGCGCTGTGGCAAGATATCTAAGATGTGACTTGGAAGGGAAGCTGACGGAACTGAAAGAATGATGTGTTACATCACAGACACACTTCTCCCTGCTCTGCTGCTGTAAATGAAATCAGGTTGGCTGAACTCACCAAGTACAGAGCTGCTATAGAAGTCCCACGCTGTTCGAGGATCTCCGTCAGTGCGCCCCTGGAGATCCGAAAGGTAATCTAAAGAGGAAGAATGGAGAGGGTTAATGCACGTTTACTGGCCACACCACAGTCCTGGCATACATATCTACTGGTCCTGAGTAAGCCATGCCATCTCTGCTGCTCTGTCTCTGCTGTAACGTTAGGCATTACGGCAGAATCTGAACCACAATCCACTTGCAAGAAGGGTACCCTCACTCAGGAGAAGGCAGCATGGCCCTGACCTGAAAACTTGAAATAGAATCCAATGGGGAAAAGCAACCGATAGCACTATGTAGGTTGGAAAGCAAGGTTCTTAGGGTCTTCTTACACTCAAGACTGCATCCACAACAGGTGCATGTACAGTTAAGCCTGGAGGAGCACTGATAGACAAGTGGCAAACAAGACTTTTTAGAAATAGGAAATTTTATGTCTTGTATCTACCTGGGAACCACCATCTCTTCTAATTGTCTTTGCCTCACTGTTATGTAGGAGCCAGGACACTCATCTCATTTCTACTTAAACAGTACAGAAAGTGGGCATGCTTCACTCTCAGCCAGTCATCAAAGATGGCCCTCCCCATAGGCAGAGCCATTTTAGAGCAGATGGCATCATTGTGTGGCAACAAAAGCATATCTTTTGGGGTTATGCAGTAGGACCAAAAAGCAATGCTGCTCAACAGCATCTCCAACCCTCCTGCATGATATTGACTTCAGGATGTGACCAGAGCACTGCCTGTACATTAGAGAACAGAAAGATACTTGAATCTTAATTGGAAAATGGTGTGCTAGTCTAGAGACATTGAGTGTAAAAACACACACAGGACAGAATTAA